CGACAAGGCTAATGATGCTCAAGGGAGCTGTGTGGAAGAACCAGTTAAACTCTTCGACACCCAAGGAGTTCAACAGGGACACAGGAGATTTGAGTGTCAGAAAGAGAAAGGGCACAAGCAACAGGTGGTTGGTTGAGAAAGTAAGAAATGAAAGCAAAGAGAAGGAAAATTGAGTAGGGGTGGAAAACCTGAAGAGAGAAAAACGGCGTCACATGGTACAGTGGGACCTGTTGACTCGGCCGTAGAATCTGCATCCTAGTCCCATATCTGACCCTTTTCGAGGCCACAGAGCCTCTTGCTCCTGGGCCATTCAGAACAGAAGTGTGATGACCTCTCAGGTCCTTTCCAACACAGACATCCTGGTACCTGCCAGAGCCATTTCCTGCTCACCTGGAGTTCATCTACGAGCGCGCCTTTTGTTTTCACGACGAGAAGCTGAGCTGGCACAGTGATTTGGGGAATGATGACACTGGCAATAGGGTGGGACTTTAATTATGCTCAGGTGTTCAGACCAGACTCAATGTCTGGAGACTGAGCCCCCGAAGCACCCACCGTGCTGGCTTTGAAGAAGTGTCTATGAATCCCCTGGGGAACTGAAAGCCTGAAGCAGCCACAGAAGGTGGGTGGCTCCGTGGTTTACTCTCCAAATGGGAAAGTGGCGATAGAAGATGAATACTGATTTGGTTGCAGAAGTGAGGTGCCACTTAATGAGTGCCTAAAAAGTGGCTTTGAGGGTGGGTAGTGGGCAGCATCCGGATTAAATCTGAGGGACACGACAGAGATGGTCTGATTCACCAAGCTGACTGTTGGTAGAAACCCGGATGTCGGGCACTGCGGGCGAAGGATCAGCAGGAAGACAGGAGCATGCTCTTGGAAATCGAGGGAGGGTACTGCTGTCACGGAGTGGCAGAAGTTTGGTGAGATTGTTTTCTGGGATTATGTGAAAAAAAGAGTTTGTAGGTGATGAACTCAGCCGTGTAGCTAAGATTTCCAAGGGAGCTCTTGGTGATGAACCTGGCTTTTTGCTGCTTAAAGTGCAAAAGGACCTAAACAAAATCTATTTTTGTCTGTTTAAGAAACCAGTTTGATAATTTTGAAAAGTCTCAGTCTCTCCAGGTAGCAAAAGCTGCTGAAATTAAGAAATTCAAAGTTGCCATACACAGAAAAGCCAAAGGTTTGCTTATGCAAACTTTTGCTCTAATCTCAAAAATACCTAAAGATCAGATTATTCAACTTCATAAAGGGTGGTTTCAAGAGAGCGTCTTAAAGAAACAATAGGGCGTGTGGAAAGGTGAGGAACACCGTTTGTCTCTGAGCCATCCGGGCAGGAGGCTAGAAAAGGGCTCAATTGCAGAGATCTGTTGTGTGACTTTTTGCTGAGAAGAGTGAACGCCACTGAAATCCTCAGGAGATTCAAGGTTCTTGGGGGATTATCTCAGCAGAAGCCCTGCCAGCTTGGACTGAAAGGAATGAGCATGAAATGAAGAGAACTAAAGAAAACCAACACATTTTCACTGGCAGGAAGCAGTCTCAGAAGACTGCTCAAATATCCACCTTCTTTCATGTAACAGAAAGATGACTCAGAGGGTAGCCCTGCGAGTCCAGAGAGCTGAGCCAAGGGCCACGAAGAATTATTCCCAAGCCTTGAAAATGAATGCAGGAACTCCCAGTATATGCTTGTTTGGCCTTCATAACTGCTGTTGTGGACATTTCTCCCATCCATTCACCCCTGCTGAAGGGGGGTGTCTTATCTCATGTGTCAGCTCTTATCTCATGTTAAGAGATAATATCCATTGCTTATTGGGTGTGTTGGGAGCAGATAATTTGTGTCTTCAGATTTGCCAGTCCATAGACGGAGAGCTGTATGTAACAGTTTACACCAGGCACCTCATCTGCACCTGACCTAATTTAGATGATGAGTTTTGTACTTGCTGATACCCTAATGGCATGAGACTCTTGGGAAACGTGGGAGGGGCTGATGCCTTTTGCATCCAGGAAGGAGGTGAATCATTGAGGGTCAGAGGATGGACTGTGGTGGGCGGATTGTAAGGTGGTTCCATGGTCCCTTCCTCCTGGAATTCACGTCTTTGTAGAACTGCCTCCATTTGATTGTGGGCAGTGCTGTGATTTGCTCCTTATCAGTCGTATATGGCAAAGGTGATGGATGGCATTCCATGATCACGTACCCATGTCTAAGTCTCCATCTTACTAGCAGCTTGCCCTGTGCCCTCACTCCGCCTCTCTCTCTCCCTCTCCTTGCTGACATTCACAGAAGCTGTCATGGATCCTAACCTGTAAGAAACTGAATGCTGCCAACAGCCTGCGAGCAGGCAAGCAGCTGCCCAGTTAAGCCTCCTGTTGAAAGCTCAGCGATCGAAAACTAATACACATTTCATCATGCTCTCATCTTTCTGAAACCCTTTAGTGATTAAATAAGGTGATGCACGTACAGGCTCAGCAGTGTTTAGAGCATAAGAGGCACCAAAGAAATAGTTCCTCCTTCACGTTCTTCATTCGCTCTGTAAAGGCTGACAAGGAAAAGGTCCAGACTGATTGGAATACATTTAGAACCTGACTTCAAGCTAATTTTTCAGTCTTATTTGTCTTTGTTAAGCCAATTCCAGGCAAACTGTCTTACCACACTGGCCTCTTTCTACTTCCATGAGTATCTTGTTTCTTCTCAAATGCCCTCTCCAAGCACCTGCTGTGACAATCCTCAAATTTCCAATCCTATTCATCTTTAAAGTCACAGTTTATATGCCATATTTATTACAGACTGTGCTCTAGTTCCCTAGTCATGGTGAAAATCCTTTCTACCACCCAGGAATTTAGAAATTGTGTGTTCCCTATAATTTTCTTCCTCGTAATCTATTACCTGATCCTATCTTTTTGGTCCGATCTGTGAGGATATGCTAACCACGTGTGACTTGCATATGTGTCGATGTGTCTGTGTTACCGGATGTCTCCGGAGCACATCTGGAGCACAGCTGTGTAGCCTCACTGCTCTCTTTCTTGAGACTTTCTTCTTTCCTTACCCAGAGTATCACTGCTGGCTTTTAGAGATTTTATACTGACACATATGAAATCAACAGTGTCTGCTGCTTAGAATCTCCGATGGAAAAAACATTCTTGTAAGTACAGCTCTGGGACTGAGAATACAGGCCCGGGAACCAAAGTGCCGGAGGTTGAAGCCAGACTTCTCCACCTGGGCAAGTTACTCAACTGTTCCATGTTCCTGCTTGTATTAGGTAGGGGAATCATGCTACCGAGTTTTTGAGGTTGTTTTGAAGACTGTGTGTGTGTGTGCACGTGTGTGTGCATGTGCCCGCACATGTGGTTGTTTATTAGAACACTGCTGAGAACATTGTATCAGTCATCATTTCTGTATATAGTGTGATAAAGAAAAATAATAGATGAAGAGGTTCTGTGATAATCACACAGTAATGACAGGATGAGCTGGAGAAAAGAGGTGCATTGGTAGGGAACACCTGGTAGCAGGCATTATCAAATTTTTTACCCCGTTTTTCTGCATGATAGTTCACAGATGGGGATGCTTTTTGTCCCCTTAGGTTTTGGCAACATATGGAGACTTTCTGGTTGTCAAAACTGAGGTAGAGTGACTGGCATCTTGTGGTAGAGGCCAAGGACTATCAAATATCCCACAATGAGCAGAGAGCTCCCCACAGCAATAATTATCCAGACCAAATATCAGTAGTGCTGAGGTTGGAAAAACTTGTTCTAGAATCATCTAAAATGTAGTAAGAGAACTTTATACTACTTGTGACTAATATCTTTAGACCATGCATATCTTAGCTTTATTGCAAGTCAGCTTTTCATTCATAGAACAAAATGCTACTTCCTTTAAAAGGGTTAGTATGTGGGTTAATTAGTGTTTGCAAAGTCCTCTCTAGATGTAAAGTCCTATGTAAATGCTATTTATTATTAATTACCATTCTGAAAAACTGGAGCTGTTACCCTACTTGTTCCATAGCACAGCCAAGCCTCAAAGACCTGAGGTATACTGGATTACCTTTGATGAATCAGAATGTTTATAATGAGAGAGAGAGGGATCAGAGACCTAAGTCAAGTTTAGATAGCTGGGATATTACTGTATATAAATTGGCTCATTAAGACAAAAAAAGCTATAGGTTTTCTTCTGGGATATGTTTGCTAAATTGGAGTAAATTTCTTCCAATTTCATAGCACTAGATATAGCAAGGGAGGGTGGTAGCAAGAATCCATACAACAATTCTAATGACTATGAAGAAACAAAACTAATTCATAGGAACAATTCTATTATTTATATCTATAAGCTGATTTTCTCTGGCCCATGAGCCACTGTGTAATTTGGAGTCTGTCTGATAAAATGAAGGCAGTAAAATGATTTGCAAAAACCTAAAAAAACCAAGATACTGGATGTAACGCAATCTGCTTTTTTCTCTAGGTTTGAAGTGTAAATCATGTCCCATAAACATAATTTAATATCTTGACAGCATTAAATATCTTTACATTTCAATATAGCTCTTGATCTTACCTTATGGGACAGTTTCCTGTTAGGGCAAAGAGTCTAACCTCTAGATTTATATAAAATGTCACCTTTAACTCAGCAGCAGCTTGAATGAAATATTTGTTGTTGACATCCAGGGATAAATTTGGGTTGGCTATCCTGGTTGAGGCATAAACCTAAGCTGTGGGGCCGGGCTTTGCCACATTCTGATGAAATGCGTGTGTGAACTTCAGCATATAATAAAGGAGATACTTCACGTCAATGGGGGAAAACATGGTTTACCTAATAAACAGTTTGAAGGCAACTGTGTAGTCATCTAGAAAATAATCAGTCAATTTGGAACTATTTCTCACTGCTTAAACCAAAGATACATCAGATAAATCAGATATTTAAAAGAAAACAAAGTCACACAAATGCCACAAATTTAAAGGAAAAGGGTATATAGGGTATTAAAATCAAAAATAAAACAAAAATAAAAGCCAGAGAAGATACTGCTAAATTTAATTTACAAAATTTAGAAAAATATTCTGCAGTGGCTACCATAAATGAGTCCAAGCAGATGAAATGATAGGAAAATATTTGTAATGAAGTAGAAGAAAAATGACTTTTTTCTTTATTATATGAAGAGCTCCTGTAAGGAAACCTATCAACTCGTATCAAATAACAATTACAACTGTTTAAAAAAAAGTTAAAAAATGTAAAAAGATGATGATAGGTCAAAGAAAACAAACAGCTATTGAATTTATAAAAAGATCCTTATAAGATCCTTCTCATCCATAACAAAAACTAAAGTAGTATTTTTCTTTTGGCTGCCAAATTTGCAAAGCAAAACTTTGATAATTATTTGTGTTGATAGAATGTGAGAAAATAGATATTCTCATGCTTTTTTGATGCAAATATTTATATTTATATCATGTATACATTGATTTTCTGTGGGGGCAGGTGCCGAAAGCTATCAAAATTTAAAATACATTTATACTCTGGGAAAGTTATTCAGTTTCCAGGGGTTTATCTTACAGATATTGTCATGTATACACAAAAAAATATATTTAAGGACAGTCACTGTAAAGTTACACTACAGTGAAGGGGAAGAAATAAATTAGCATAAGTTTGATTAAGGAAAAGGTGGTATATCAGCCCATGATAACCTGAAACTAAAGAACAAGGCAGTCCTGAGTGTCTTTGGGATACATTAAGCACACACAGCTGAAGGGCGCTGCGGAGATTCTTTAACCATTCATGTGTTTTTTAAAAGGAGATATGTATTATTTATGCCTAAACAGGTTCCCCCGCTCTCTGGAAGGAGTGCGCTCCTATGAAACCTTCCCCAAGCTGAAGCGGTGTAAAGGGAGAGAGCAATCACCATTCAATTACATGGAACAGTCATTAAGTGTTCCTAGACCCCCAAAATCACCTCTCTTAGGCTTTTCTGATTCTTCAGGACACGTCTTACTAAGCGATGCTCAGAATAAGTGGAGATAAAGCTCAAATGCTCCCAGAGTCCAGGGCTCCGGTGACTTGGGGCTGAGAGGCTGAGTGTGGTTTGGGGAAGGAGCTTGGGGGGCTCTCCCTTGGGGAGCGGGCTGCCCCTGTCATGGAGCACTTCAAAACCAATGCTGAACGCTCTTTGTGCTTTTCACCTTTTTCCCTAAAAGTGAAAATCTTCTTCAGATTTCCTTCTGTTGCCAAAAAAAAGAACTCACATAGGTCTCCAGTGAAAGCAAAGCAGCATAACACAAATTCTCAGAAAGTGGGGGTACCTGTACGTGCTGCTGCATCTCTTCAAGACTCCGCAGGAATTGTCTGAGCTTCCCCTCCAGAGAAGGAGACAGAGGGTGCAAGGGGACATGGTAGGAGATCGTCTTTTTTCTTGGCACTCATTTGAATCTTCCAAATTTTGTACTGTTTATGTATTACGTAGAAAACAAGGAAGGGCCTGGTTACTGAAACACCTGTTCACTCTAGTAATATAATCACCACAGTCCTTGGCATTTCCAGTGCATCTGCCACGTCACTGCTCAGGGATGTGTGAAATGGTATCGCCTTGCCATGCGATGTGCAGTGATGTCTTTCTGAAAGGAAAACAAACATTATTTTCATTTTGACTGTGGTATTGAAAAATGATATATTTGGTTATTCAGTACCAAACATACCAAATATAGAAATAAAATATTTAATAATAAACGTGCTTTTATTTGTTGAAAAAAATGCAAAGGAACAGAACCACTTCAATCACATAGACACTTTGTGGGAGTTAAGGGACATCATTTAATTGAAACAGCCTAGATTAAGAAGCCTTGACTATTTTCTTGGCATATTTTTATAATGATTAAATTTACCTGGCATTTATGTTTGGCATGAGAGACAAATTGTATTTTGTAATTATAGCTAAATTCAAACTATGCCTTGTGTTTGTTTTGCAGGAGTGGGTGATGACGCTAAGGGCCTTGTCTCACCCCAAGGGAGCCCCAGTGCTTGATTTCCTGGTCATTTTTGCCCTGACAGTGAACACACTTGGATATTGGTCCTCTTATTGTAAATGTAGATAAAACAGTAAGAAGACCTGGCTTGCCCAAAATGGATACTCCAGATTTTAAATGATGAGGTGGAAAATTGAAGAGAGCAGTCATTGCCAAGTGGATTTATTTTACTCTCAGCATCATTCCTTCTCTGACCGACGTCACCATAGCGAATGCTTGGAGAAGATGCTGTTTCCTCCGCCAGTGGATCTAAAAAGGGCTGTTCTCCAGAGAATCCTGGTTTTCCTTTAAAGTAAATTTATTAATTGAAGGAGTTTCCCCTTGTGTAAAAAAAAACTACAGGGTAAAATCAATTTAAACTTTATTCAGCAGAGAAATTTGGTGATATATTTCTTATAATATCGTCTCCTAAGAGTAAGAAATCCATTCATGCATTTCTTCATTAGAAGAAAATCATCACAGTACTTTCTCAGACAATCTGTTAACAGCCAGGCACAAACGCCTGCCTTCATAGTAGCAGTTGCCAGACTCATGATTCATTGAACAGGACAATAAATTTCAACCTTATTTGATTTTGTTAATTAGTGTAAACGAGATCACTGCAGGAGCGGTTGCTAATTGTCAGTTACCATCAAACACCTGATGGGAGAGGTGGAGATGATATGCATGATTCTAATCATATTCATGCATTTCAACATAGTGAGAGTGAAGAGTTACATTTTTCATGCTCTAGTTCTTGGGTGGCACCAATCTGTAAAATGAAATTCCACATATATGCAAAGTCTTATGTACAAGGATACTCACCACAATGCATTTGCGATAGAAAGCAATTGGGAACAATCTGAATGGTTAAGTAAAATAGGGCACTTCATGTAATGATATATAGACAGCCATTTATTATTGAGAAAGAAGATTTAATGAGGTATGCAAAATTATATATGCAGTATGCAATTTTTAAAAGCATATTTCAAATGCATAGAAAAAACATAACCTTATAGATCATACATCAAAATATATGAACATCAGTTAATGTAATTATGGTAATTAGGAGTGCCTTCTTTGCTTTGTGTTAGTTTCTGAGTTTTTCAGTATTTTGTATGGACAGAAAAAGGTCCAGTAAAATGAAATTTATATGAACAACACTGAAATTGAACTCTAAAATAAGAAATCTGACTTTCTTCTAGTGGAATTCACAAGTTATGTTCATTATGTTCATTTTTTTCTCTGGGCTAAATTAATTTTTTAGTTAACTATTTCTTTTGAATCATTCTTCCATTTATTTCACAAGTTTCTGCTGATGGACAAACAGGAGTTAAGTGTTTTTCCAGTGGGAAGCTGCTAGATCCAATCTCGTTCTAATTCATGGATGGCCTAGCGACTGGAGACCTGCACTTGACTCCGGCCAGCTGCAAGACTGAGTGCGGAAATGATGGCTGAGTGCAGACTCCTGGATAGAAGAGGGTGAGAATGAGCCTAACAGACACTTTCTTTAAACAAAGAACTGATTTTGTAGTACAATATATCAGAATAAAGCAAGATTAGAAGTTCGACTCCACCAGGTGTCTTTCGTGTTAATGAAGGAACCATATAGACTAGACAGCGACCTGTTTGTTTCCTTGCATGGTACCTGGGTCATGGCTTCTTGGCCTAAAGCCTCTCCCGGGAATCTTTAGGATGAGCTTACTGACAGGCAAAGTTCAGCATTTCTGTGTACATGCACTGTCTGGCTCACAGGTCGTGCCTATTAAAGACATCAAACAGAAATCAGAAGAAAGAGGGCAGCTGGAAAAAACAACCAGCTTGGGACTGCGAAACCACAGCAGGCCATTTCCTGGCCGTGGAAGGGAGCCCTCCCCTCTCCAGTCATCTCCGCCACTATTCACCACTGCCGGCTTCCCCTTCAACACCCGAAGTGTGCTTCTGTCTCTCAACATGAAACTTTTATTCTAATCATGGGCTTCCCACTGGCCCATGTCCACCAGAAATCATTTCTGGAAAGACAAGGAAGATGTATGCATGTTCACTGTCTATACCCTTGCTCATGTTCACCCTCCTCTCCGCCCAGAAGCGTCCGTCCCGCTCTACGCGGCCCATTCCTGCTCCTCTGGCCCCACACTCTCCTACAATCTTTCCTGCTGTGTTTTTAGAATAAACCAAATAACTTAATATTTCATTACTCTGTTTTACCTATACTAATAGTAGTCTCAATGGTTCTTTCATGAAAATCCAAAATTTTACCTATGTTTTTGGGGAATTTTTTTCCCACTTCAATTTATAGGTATGTATTATGAACATCTATGGGTTAATTGATTGGATATTATTGGACTATTTCATGTTTAAACTTGTGTTTTTATCTGCACAGTGTTTCAATAGAAACCAGACAGTAACATGCCAAAGAGATAGTAAGTTAATATTATTCTACAAGCTTGCTGATGAATAATTAGTAGATATTTAGTCGGAGAAAGAAAGAAACTCCATGTAGGGACAATGGAGTCTAATTTCAAAGAAAAAAAATATCTGGGCTAACAAAGATCAGGAAAGGGAGGTTAACTTGAAAAAATATCCAAAAATGAATTGCAGGAATGAGATGGTTTGTATGCATCTGGGGTGACCTTGGGGGGCCCTGGTTTCGGCAGGAAGCACCTGCTACCAGCCTTCAGTTGTGTGAGAGTAGCAGGTGCCGACTTGGACTCTGAGCCTAATGCTGCTGGTGGTATGACTCTGGGCTAGTAACTTGGCAGCTCGGAGCTTAGGTGCACTTCTAGTAAAACTGTCATCATACAGCACCTACCTCAAGGGACTGTGGTGAAGATTAACAAGTTAGTGCCTGGAGAGGACTTAAAATAATTACTTGGCACCAGGGTCAGATACATTTTTGTGAGGGCCTAAAGCGTATACAATTTCCTGGCTCTTCTATAAGAAAATTTAATAAAAATAAAAATGCAAAATTAGATCTGCGATCAGGTGATATCACTGGGAGAGGCAGGCTACTTACAAGGCTTCAGAGATCCTCTCCTTAAAAATAGCAACTGGCAAAGTTCTCAAAATTAACTCACGTTTAGTACTCTGGTAAGTAACTAAAGGCTTACAAAAATCCAGGGGATGATTATTCAAGAAAAACAGCCGGATTTGGTAATACTGGTGAGCTCCAAGGTGGCAAAACTTGCTCTGTTCCCATTCCCGTCTCCCTAATTCCACAGGAGCCTTAAAAACCCAGTGACAGTGAAAGCCAGCATCCCGCAGCCACTGGGGGGTCCGTGCAGGGTTGCAGGTCTTGGAAGCCCCATTCCTGGTGAACTGTCATCATTTGGCCTATCTGGCAATCCCCCTGGAAAACCCATTGTAAGACCAGTTTTAATTTTACTGGACTCAGAGATGGCCCAGGCAAGCAGCTTTTCCCTGGGGACACTGATGGGAGACAGTCAGGGGCAACGGTTCACTAGGGCACCTGCCTGAGCTTGAGTAACGCTGGGACAAGCTACAAGTTAACCGAAAGTCTGAAAAGTAACAGCAAGGGCAGGAAATGCCCACCAGGGCCTTTGAAAAGGTCTGTATATTCCTGGGAGTCTCACAGGCCGCATCGGCCCTGAGGGCTGTGAGTGTCCTTGGCAACCACCCGAGAAGGTCCCAAGCGCTCCCTCCCACTGACCTAGAGGAGGAAGGCACCCTCCATCCCACGCACAGAGCCCAGCTCATGAGAGACCTCTCCTAAATAAAACACCTCCATTCCAGGTTTATCCTCGACCCTCTTGATTTCTTTGAAAGCATCTCCTCCCCTGTGTTCATCAACAGAAAGCTGGCTCAGACAGGTGCATCCGAAAAAGGAAACGAGGGACCCGTCTGCCCTAGGGAGCCCCCTATGTGCCAGGCAGGCTACACTATGCAAGTGAAATGGGAAAACAAGTGTGATAAAAGAATTCCTTGTTACCTCTTATTTTCCAGTCTTGAAACAGAAGCAGCCATGAGATTTACTGGGGAGATTATGGCAGATTCTTGTGTCATTGAAGACTGTGTTAAGTTGTTGGTATTATGACTCATTTTCTAAAGCAATGAGGAGAACTACTGTGGAGATGGGCTCTGAAACTGGAGGCTGGAGACCCCTGGGGAAGGGACTGGAGGAAAGAACTTTCCAAGACACACGGTGGCTTTGGAACTTGGGGAGATAAGCGAGTGTGCGGTTCTCCCTGCCCTGCTCAGGGCGCAGGCAGAGGACAGCAGGTGCAGCCCGGCTCCAGCAGGAGAAGAAAAACACTTCGTAGAACTGCCCCCAGAACAATTTGAGTTAGTTTTTCCATATTTTACACAGAAAGAAACTGAGGTTCAGGGATGCAGAAAGCTTGCTTTACTATGTGAACGGGGACAAAGAGTGATGTTATGGTGAAGAAATCTGGCAGACACTGCCCCACCCAGGTGCCCAAGGTCAAGGTCATCAAGGACACACCACGCTGATGGCAGGTACTCCTGACATGATGTGTTGAGAATGGTACTTTACTTGTGTGGTCTTTCTCCCCAAAACCCATAACCTAGGTCTAACCCTGAAAAAAGCAAGCCAAATCCCAGCAGAGGGGCGTTTTACAAAGCATCTGACCAGTAGCCCTCAAAGCTGTCAAAGTCACCAAAAACAAGGAAAGTCTAAGAAGCTGTCCAGCCAAAGGAGCCTAAGGACACAGGATGGACTGAATACAGTGCGGTGTCCTGGGTGGGGCCCTGGAACAGAAATTCCATATGAAGTTCAACTAAGGAAATACCGATGAGGTATGGGCTTAGTTAGTCAGTATGGGGTCACTACTCATGACAAATGTGCCATACTCATACGTTAGTAATAGGGGAAACTGTGCAGAGTTTATGGGGACTCTCTGTACTATCTTTTCGCCTTTTCTGTAAAACTATCCTAAAGTTTAGCTTGTTTCTTTAAAAAAATATGCTTTAGAGAACGTGGTGAAATGGAGATTTGAGACTCATGATCTTTGCATTACACAAAAGAGCCATGGTAGTTTTCTAGGGCCTCCATAGAAGTACCACGGGCGGGTGGCTCGGACAGCAGAAGTGCATCCTCCCGCTGTTCCTGCAGCCAGCGGCCCACCAACAAGGTGGCAGCAGGGTGGGTTTCCCTCTGAGGAGCCCCCCTCAGCTTGCAGGCGGCCACCTTCCCGCTGCGTCTGTCCTGTGTGCGCACATCCCTGGGGGCTCTGCCTGTTCCTGTAAGGACTCCAGTCCAGTTGGATGAGGGCCCACCCTAAGGGCCTCGTTTAACTGAATTACCTTTCTAAAGGCTCTGTTTCAGTTCTGAGGTCTTGGGGGTTAGGGCTTGAGCACATGAATTTTGGAGAGACACAGTTCAGCCCGTAACAGGTACTTTTCAAATTCGGGGCTAAAACCATGTATACTTAAGGGTGCGTAGGCACGTGTCCGTTTCATCTGAGAAGTGATGGCCGGCGCTCCTCGCAGACGAGCAGGCTGGCGCCGCAAGGCCCTGCTGTTCATGCGCTTTCCCCGGGGCCTGAGGCGCTGCGTCCTCCCCTTCCCACCCCCCTGCTCTCTCCTCTGGGGTTTTGCATTTTCTTCTCACCTGAAGGTGCAATTTTCTCCTGATCCCAACCCTGTTCTTTTTGAGGCCTGAGTTACAAACATCTTTTTTTTTTTTTTTTTTTTACAAATTTTCCTTTGAAAAGTCAATATGTACCTGCAGTTTTCAAGAAACATCTAGAATCCATGATCTTTTTATCGTAATGCAAACCTTCTTTTTCTTCTCCATTCTAGGTCGGAATGCCCGTCCAAAGGTTCACAATCTCCCATCTTTACAGTGGGCTAGAGATAATAGAGGCTGTGGTATTTTTTATGTTCTAACTTTTTGGAAATTATATATCTGCAAAATAATGTTTTATAGGAAATATAAAGAGGCCAAAGGATCTAAAATAGTCAATAATAATATGAGCAGAGGAATGTTTTAGTTAAGCGTTAAAATTATGCTATATAAATAAATTATATAGGCTTGAATGAGCTGTAAGATTTCCCTAAACTTCTAAAGGATTTTCAAAGAGAGAAGATGTCTATAATTAAAGTAGTAAATCTTTAAATAAGCAGTAGTTAAATTATGCAGAAGCTCTTGAAGAACTTGCTGGAAATAAAGATGAGGCAAAGAGTTAAGAATATAAATAGGTAATTATATATTCACTGGCTTTATATTACCTTTATATGGTAACCGATGGTTGTCAGTCATCTATTGAAACATGTTTAGTCTCAACTTCTTGGTATGAAGAAAATGTAATAATTATATTTATACTTTTTTGTATGGAATCATATACTTTTGAGACATTAAATGTTAAAAAAAGCTGTAGGTGTATTACACATTTGATGACAAAACAGATTAATATTTTAGCATCATGGAGTTCTAAGGAGGCTTAGCCATCAGGTAATTTCTTACTCTTAATAATAAGAAAACTGAGGCCTAGACAGGTTGTATATCTTTCTTAATACTAATAAGCATATTTGCAAACCTAAATATGTTCCATCTTATGAATACAAGAGTCCAATGAAACAGAGAAGCAAAAAATTCAATCTGGATGTATGACCCATTGTACAGAGGAAGAATATGAGAATACAGCGCCTCCTGACCCTCCCACAAACACAGACATGTGCTGATCCATGACAGGCCCCTGCTGTCTGAGGTGAGCTACGTGGGGGGGGGGGGGGTTCAGGGTAACAGCACATCCCTGACACTCTTTCTGTCAAGAGGAAGGCCCTCTTTCTCCTTCCTTGGACACTGGGCTGGCCCGCGATGGTCTTGACTGATGGAATATGGCAGGGATGATGCCATGCTGGTGCCACGCTTAGCTTGTACAAGGGCTGGCAGCTGCAGCCTTGATCTTGAAATCTGAACGATCACAGGATGTCCAAGCCTGGCTGAAAAAATCATGTAGAGAAGCCCTGAATCTGAGGGACGGGAAATGTGCCAGGATGAGCTTGGCTTTTCAGTCACCGCTCAGTGACACCAAATGCATAAAGGCAGAGACCTGGGATCCTCAAGGCCAGGCGAGCCACCCGCTGAGTACCATGAGCGACCTCAGGCAATACCTTTATGAATCCCTGGCCCAAACACTGTGAGACAGAATGAAATAATAGTTGTGCGAAGCCACTAAGTTTTGAGAGAGTTTGTTATGCAATAATTGGTAACTAGAATATTATATTTTGTTTTAATTTAGGACAAGATATAACATTAGTTTCAAGTAATGATGGTTTAAAAAAATAATCAACATAATAACTCCACTAGGTATATTAAGTCAGAATGTAATTAAAAAATACTCATTGGGCCTTAAGTACCAACCAGAGGCCACCAGGCACCTATTAATGCATACTGTCTCAGGTTATTCTTGTCCTTAAAGCCCTGGGAAGAATTGCCTTCTAGATCCTTGCTGCTGAAATTGTGATCCATGGTCCAGCACCAAGAGCCTGATTTGAGGAGCGTGTTAGACATGCAGGATCACTGGCCCAAGCCATCAGCGGCTGCATGGTGACAAGCCCTGGTGACTCGCATGCACTGCAAACGCTGGGTAGCACCAGTCCGAACAGTCGTATGAGAAGGCACGTGGGTGTGTGCCAGTAAATACGGAAGCGGCTTTTTTTCTCACTTTCACGGCAGAGAGTCCCTTCTTCTAGAATGTTTGGCGTGGGCTTAATCCTAAAGGGAAAACTGTTCACGTTCCTTTTCCTCTTCCTAGTTTTAGATAACTTCATTTGCCTCCAGTGTCGGGTTGTTATAGGCAGAATTTCTGGACACCACAAATGTTCAAGAATAGGAAAGTATACTTTCAAACTGGGCAGGTATCATACATGTATTTAAATTAAAGCTCAATAGGATGAGTTACATACATAAAGTTCTTTTATATGAGTTTTTCCTTTTATGACTTTTTGAAAATGATTATTTTACAAGTCAAGCTAGTGGGAAAATATATCCCACAAAAATATTATTGCAATTGGAATAATTAAAACAGTTCTGATTTCTGGTGCTTGAAAAGGGTACAGCACATGTACACAGCATCTAGAGAAAAGTAACTAAATTTATTAAAACAATAAGGTGGCTTCCTGCAGCAACGCTCATAGCTCAACTGCGCACCCCACCCAAAAGCAGTCCCTGGGCACCCACCTTTCCACTGTTGCCACCTCTTGGTCCACAGTGAATTTTCTTCTGTTGACTTCCTGTTTTAATATTCATTGACTTATGTTTGTCTTTCAATAATTCAGCAAATATAAAGTAAAGGCCTATAATAGGATAGGCAGAGGTGATACAACAAGAGGACACTGTGCTCACCTCAAAGAGTTCATCGTTTTGTTCAATAAAAAGTCAAAATCAGGCCATGATGTCAAAGGGCTCTGGATGGATCCAAGATGAAAGGGAAGCCTTGGGGAGACATCCAATCCAGTCTTGGGGATGAGGGAAGAGTTTTCTAAAAGAAATACAAAGAAATAACTCAAATATGGGGTCCTGGACTCAGAACACCTGGGGTGGAAGTCCTACTGGTCAATTTGGGGGACATGCTTAGCCTCTCTCTGACTCAACTTCCTCATCCGTAGAATGGGAATATTAGGATTCCAGCCTCAGAGAGCTGCTGGGAGGGAGAAGAAAGAAGACTAGGAAAGGGCTTAGAAATGCACCTGGTCAGTAGTAAGGGGCTGAAGAATGTGAAATGTGACCCTTATTCAGTAGTGTTCTTCCTGGATTTAGGGAATAAGTTGTCAGCAGCTTAAAAGAATAAGCTTTTGTTCCGTTTTGTTTTTCATCACATTTTTTCCACCTTTTTGCACAGACTAAATATTTGTTTCCTTTCTTCCTGAAGTAGACCGTATGACGCCTCCATAACATCCCTTAACTGAGGAAGGATCTAGAAAACCATCCGTAGTTTGCTTTCTGCTCTCTTCTATCTTGGAAAAGTGACATTATTAACACTCATAGCAAGGGTTTGTTAACAAGTAGAAACTCGTTATTTATAATCAAAATTTTAACAGCTTGCACTCAGAACAAGACAATGTCAAGCGTGTTAGCACAGAGGCATTTGGGAATCTCACAATATTCTTCATTAATTTGAATTTTAAAGTGGTGTCATCTCACAGACTGTGTTTTCTGAGGCAGAAAAGATACAATGCATGAGCTTATGGTTCTGTTTGGATTTGTAGCCATGATGGGAAAAGACAGAAGACTGTCCACTTGACATTCTGTGGCCCTACGTCTGGGGAATGGGAGGCTGATGGATGCAGAGGAAGATCACGAGGAAATGACAACCTTCTTGCCATCGAATCCTGTTCCATTAAAGTCATGAAAAGCATTAGTTATTTAGGAATTGTAAACCTGGAAACTGTACGACACCATAGTTGCCAAGAACATTGGACATCAGTATGAACAAGTTAGAAAAAAAAACATTATTTGGTGTTTTAGTAGTGTTTCTGAAACTATGTATGAAAAAGTGAAGTAAGCTCAAGGATACAGTGTCTGACAGAAGGACAAATCAATGGTAGAAGGAAAGGTGCTCCAGTGTGAGTGCCTGCACTGCAGACTGGCGTCTGGAGAGCCAAGAAATGGGGCACAGTGACGCACAGCCGTCAAAGTGGTGTCATTCCTCCAGCTTCCCAGCTTCAGGAAATGGTGGACTCTCCCCTTAACACACTTGGATTGGATTAGTTGGGGTTCTCCAGAATATATATATATTACACACACACACACACACACACACACACACACACACACGAGCTTTATTGTAAAGATTATATATGCAAGTATGGGGTCTGAGAAGTCCTAAGTTCTGCAGTGAGCCAGTCGTAGGCCCAGGTGAGCTGATGATGGAAGCTCTGCCCAAGGCTGAGTCCAAAGGCAGCTGAAGGCCAATGCCTCGCCTCAAAGACAGGCAGGCAGAGCAACAGCCCCTCTTCCCATCTTGGTTTGAGTCAGACCTCCCACGGGTTGGATGAGGCTCACCTGCATTAGGGAGGGCAATCTACTGTCCACTGATTCAAATGTTAATCTCATCCAGAAGCACCCACCTCCACAGACGCACCCAGAATCACATGTGACCCGTGGTCCAGTCATGCTGACCCATGAAATCAACCCTTCCGAAGCCCCACTCCCACGGTGACACATTAGACTACATTTAGTCCTTGGATTTTAGTTTTGGGATGTTCCATACATATGACATTATTATGGATTCCTTACCATTAGGAGACCCAAGAAGGAGACTCAGGGGTCTGGCAGTTGTGCGTGTGTGTGAGTGCGTGTGTGTGGTGAGAAAGATATGGGGACTTTCCCGGGCAGAGCTTCATAGCTTTCGGGGGACTTTCAGCCGGGTCCTCAACACCCAGCATGTAAACCACGCTGTGGCACAACATCACAGGCTACAGGTCAGGGTCCTGAGCGGGGCAGACGTGTGTCCAGATGCACAAACTTCTTTTACAGGAAAGCTTGAAGGGGGTTGTCACATTTCCTAGCCTGGTGCTATCGGTATCGACCCATGCCCCTTCTAGGCAGAGACTCGGGCAATGACCTAGCGGTTATTATGGGTTTTGTGCTGACTCACTGCTTGGGATTTGCCACCTGGGAGACAGGTGCTTCATTGTCTTTAAATACTCATGAAAGATGTCATACATGCTCAGATTCTGCTTGGGGTTAAGTCATTTTAAATCATACATTTTCTAAGCTTTACTTATGAAATTCTGCCACACTATTTTCTGGGTTTCCTTATGGATTTATCTCTTGCTGTGCCTAAAAGCTTAGCCATAGTATGTAATAAAAATATGGCTCCCATCACAGAACCCTAGTCTCTGTGAATCACAAGTGTCATAACTGGCGGGAACTAATGGAAGGATTTTAAGGACATATTTTATATATACTTTTTAGCATTGTGAACAGAGATTATTAATTTTTTTCTCAGTGTCTCCTATTTGTTTAATCGTGTTTTTTATTTTATACTAAAAGTATTTCTAAATAAAAGAGGAAAACTGTTATATGGATCAATGATTTAAATTCCTTTTAATTTAAAAAATACAATCCTCTAAATATCACATGTATCTCACATTCTGCTTTTCATTACAATATTCCCTGAAGCGTGGATTTTATAACTAAGGGAGCCTTTATAGTCATTACCATAAATATGACGTTCATAATCACATTGCATGGTCTTTCACAAACTACACGGCCTTTCAGAGCATTTTAAGATCACAGTTATTCATAGAGCCACCCAGGGAGAGCAATTGCTCAGATGAATATTAGTTGAAAACATGCTTTGACTGTGTTTTACTTTCTTTCTTTTGTGTGTATGTGAAATCGTTACCGAGCATCTTGGCAAGTTCCATCACCTCAAAAGTCGGGAACAGCTCCAGAGAGTTCCAGCAGGTGGCAGCATGGAACACCGCAAAAGCAGGAACAGCCTCAAAAATCTAAGCATCGACAAGCTATTCTCATTCTTAAGGTGACTGAGTTCCCCACCCCCATAAATGAAAGTAACTCTGTTTATATGTGAAAATATGTATCTATTTATATGTGAAAAGCCATTTCATGAAATGCCTTCTCAGTGCAGCGATAACATATGATACTAAGGTCAATAATAATTAAAAATACCTAAGATTTATAGAGGGCTAAGACATTCTTCCCACTGTTCTAAGCACTTACTAAGTATCCTCTACCTAATACAACAGCCTCTCTGTTGGTATTATTATTCTGCTTGTTTTACAATTGACCAGATCAAAGCAAGGACTTTGCTCAGGTTTCCGCAATCTACGAAGCGGAGGAGGCGGGACCTTCAACCAGGCTGCGTGGTCCCCATGGCCAGTCTGTTGACCACCTCATCCTGGGATTAAAATGAAACGTATTAGGAAAAACACAGTGACTTTTCAGAAAAGAAAACTGAATAGTAAAGACAAATGTTACAGAGAGACATTATGAGGTCATTCAGGTGTTATCCAGTAAAAAATAAAGGAATAAATGAATAAAACTAGAAGTCATTCAAGGAGAGAAAAAGGAATGTCAAGAAGTCCTGAAGTTAAAGGGCACACATAGGAGAAGCCTGGCGATGCAGGCAAGGGGAGGCATTACCATGGGGCAGGAGAAATAAGAGTTCATATGGGCGCAGAAGTTTCACGGGTGTGGGGGCCGTGGAGAAGGTGCTGAATCAGGGGCATTATTAAAGGCATCCGTCCTCACAGCGTCCCACACTTCACCGCCTCCACCTAATTCCAAGGTGATTTCTTCACCCAGCTCAGTCAAGGCTGTGGCTGGATCATGCGGCTCCACAACTGGGGACAGGAGAGAGCTTATAAATATTTGCATCCATACCTCCTTCTTTGTGCGAACATCAGGGAGAATAAGCAGATTGAACTGTTGACTTGCACACCGACTAATGCCTTCTCTCCCTAAATGCTTCCCCTCACCTAGAGCCCTTGCTGGTTTCCTTTCTCTCTGCCTCTGGTCCTTCCGATACTTGTTTATCTCGTTTTCTAAAACCTGGAGGGAGCGCCTCCCTCTGGGGCCCCTTTTCCATCACAGCTATTGGACGATGTCAGTACTGACCGCGGAAGAGGCAGGAGGCAGGGGGGAAGTACGGGCCTGGAGAGGCAGAGGGTCCGGAACAGATCGTAGCTAGTGCTGTAAAAGCTGTGTGTGCAACACGAAGCCCCCTCCTGGCCTTGCTGATCCCGGTGACAGTCATTTCTCCGGCTAGACTGCACATTCCCTGAAGGGGTTAGGCCACGTTTTATTTAACTTTGAGCATATCTCAACTTATCTGCGAATCCCTCATACAGCACTTGGCGCCCAGTAGGAATTCAGTGACTGGTTGGGAGGGTGGAGCCACTCCAAGTCCAGCTCATGTGGCACCTTGTTGATCTCGGAGGGACCCAACACCACTTACCCAGGTTTCTTAGCAGCCTTGGGCAAGCAGGGAAGCTGGCCAAGTGGAAATCCAGCAGAGATTCTTTTCCAATTTGGGGGAGAGAAAAACAGCTAGAAAAATATGACCATGAAGAGAATAGCCAGTTGGTGTAAGTCACAGTTTACAAAACAAAAACACCCTCAAGAATGCTCTGCAGACCCTCGTTGAAATCAGGAGCCACACCCTTTCACTCACAAGCTGGAAGAAAAAGAAAGCACCCCCTGGAGGGGGAGACTGGTGCATGCGCAGCACAGCCTCTGTCTGGGGTGGGGGCAGGAACCTGGGGCAGGAACCTGGGGCAGGAGCCTGGCAGAAGCTGAGCAGGACTCAGAGGGACCAGCTCTTGACTAATGTCACCTCTTGACAGCATCACGCAGGGGTTAGGATCCCAGCGCAAACACGCAGCCCATAGCACCTGCCAAGGTAGGACCACCCCTCCGAGAACCGCTGCTTTATTATGTCAGGGTGAGAAGAACTGTGGATATTTCTTACCTGACCTTGCTAAATGTCATCTTACTTTTTCCTCTGCCCGG